ATTTTAAGATCGATAAGCACACAATTTAGTATTGGAAAAGGTAAAAACCTGAAAGGAAATGAAAGACAGTTCAACAGAAATGAAAACTTAAGTAAAACCACTACTGATTAAAGTTTTCCGAAGCAACTTAAAGGAGACTGGCGACTCCGCTGACTTGATTTCCTTGAGCAGATCCTACCAGAGCCTTGAGCCCCACTCTGTCCCCTTTAGTTTTCAACTGGGCCCCTGGAACAAACTAAGACATCTCCCTGAAGTTCTCAGAGCATATGGTATAAAGATGTCAAACACAATGCTTGGAGAAAGACTATGAAGTTCCTAAAAGGCAAACAGTAAAATACCCCCACGCAGGGGGTGATGTGATTGTGTCTCTTCGTATTGGTTGAGAGTGGCACCTGAGTTCTGTATAGTCTTAAGTTGATCCATAGATTTTTGTTCAGGAGGTAAAAAGGCAGAAGCATCATTCCAGAAGTAATTCAGGGATCATAAATAACACGATTTTACAGGCTTGTGTTGTGCTGCTTCTTTCTGGTTTCATTTGATGGTTGTCAAAGCAGTTTAAAGGCACATTACTGCCATCTGCCGGATGGGAATGAGAGCAGCAGGTTGGCAGACATAGAAAGGGCGAAAATGAAAAAAGTACAAAAGTACTAAACTGAAGGCCTTACATGTGAACAGTTTGCACATCTCCCAATTATAAAGTGTCTCATTAAGCCCAGTATGTCCCATCCTGACAAATGTTATGACTCCCTCTTTTTGGTTCCTATCCAGCCTGATTCCCAAACCCACATGTTTCTGGTTATTACAAAGGCGTCTTTCAGTGTTGTTGCAGTATTCTTGCCATACTTTTAAAATTGCTTTTCGTTTGATTTGCCCTCAGCATTACTAAGCAGAGCTTGCATGTTTGCCATTTGTGATTTGCGTGATTGTTTGGCAGGTATATCAACAACCTCATTTCCTTCTACTCCTACACAGGCAGGAACTCAGAGGAAGCCAACAATCAGACCCTTATTGTACAGTCTGTATAATAAATGGTGAATTTCAAAAAGATCTTGTCTGTGTGATTTACTTTGTCCTGCTCAAAACTTAGATTACCATCGAACCAGACACCAGGGTTCTTGGAAAAAGGCTTTGATATGATCTTAAATGACTGATGGCTGTGTGTTTTGCCATGTGCTGCAGCCCAATAACAAGAGTCTCTAATGAAAGATAATTGTTCACATCTGATTTCTGACATTGTGAAGGCAGTCAATAAAAGTATGACACGGTGAAGCACTGAACAGGGAGGTACATCTGTGTGTCATCAGCATAAAAATGGCAAAAGACTTGCTTTATGAACGTGCCAAAGTGAAAGCATGTATAAAGGGAAAAAAAATGGCCCCGAAACTGACCCCTGTGGCACACCATATGAACATTAATATACATGGTGGTGTCCTACGTTACAGATGGAAAACATTCTGAAGATGGACCAGGTATCCCCCACAATCTGCCTCAGTCTGACAGGATGCTGTGATCAGGTAATCTGTGTGAAGGTCCACGAGTACAAGGACTGAGCGAACACCATCATCAGCAGCCATTTAAAGGTTCTTGGTAACCTTGAGCAGTACAGTCCCAGTGCTATGAAACTTCAAAATCCCGACTGAAACCTTTAAAAAAAAAAAAAAAAGTTACTTTCCAGCACAGAGAGAAATTGAACACTATATTTGTCCTCACATTTTTATATTAAGGGTAACTTTGTCAATAGCTTCCTTTTTGGATGTTTTTCTTTTGGGCAGTTCTAAAACAGAGAGACAACACAGCAAACGGGGCCTGACGGATTACGTTACTTATGGTGAAAACTTTGTTGGTATGACATCAAGAAGGCTGGAAGACACGAGGTATAAAGCTGACTCAAACTATCTCATGGATTAAAGGACATCAGAGGAAGTTACACTGGATGTAACCGACTCCACTTCTTCAGTAAAATAAGATTTAAAACATTTCTCAATTGGCATCATTTTCAAATGGTGCACAATCACCAGTTTCAAACCAAAATCTAGGATTATGTTAATGGAAAGAATTGAGTTCAACAAAATGAACTCCTTCACATCGTATTAAAAGCCCTTTCATAGTATTGTTGCTCCCAGTTGGTAATGAAGGCTTTCTGCTTTTTAATTTGTAGAAATTTATTTTTTGGTTCATTGGGAAATTCTTGATCATTTTTAAACATACACTGAAACCACTGGCTGGAGAAGTGAATGACATTAATCCTGGGCAACTTCGGGTCCTCATGTGGGATGCTACTTAGACACAGACCACCCATCTAAACATCGGCTCAGAATATGAACACTCCCCAGCGGCTGGACTCTTGTTAGAACCACAAGCAACAAAAAGCTCTTTCTAGAGCCCCAGAGTAATACAGTAACTCAGCTCATGTCAACAATGAAACTGGTTTTCATGTGTAAAATTGGGACTATTTAAGTTGATTTTAACAATTTAATCCCCACATTTGAAAATACTTTCATGTCACAGGAATTGATCAACATTTTTCTGCTACTATCACATGTATAGTGTCACAATTATTGCTAAGACACTGGAAGGACATGGGAAAAAGTTGAGGCACTACCAACATTATAAATAGTTAGATTGTTTTAGAAGATAATCTGTTATGCACTTAAAAAAAAAGAAAAAGAAAAAACAGTCTGGGCAAATGTAAATATGACATAATTAAATCTGATATGAACAATAAAATGTAGTTTGTATCTTTGCATGCACACATTTAATTTGGAATTCATCAAGAAATGCATTTACTCAATTAGTCAGTTGTTTCAGGTGGAAGCAATGATCTTGTTTTATTTGCTCATGTAACTGCAAAGTGGGAAATGTTGTGTGTCCTTATGTTCCCCATTGTTTTTTCCCCAACTGGAGTTTTGCTTTTAACAACAAACATCCTTTTTCTGAACACAGAATCATGGGAGTCTCCTGGATAAATACTGGAGGGTAGCAGTGGTGGAGAGGCCACACAACTGTTTATCAGAGTAATTACTAGAAATCGTGGATAAATGTGACTTTAAATGACTCTAGCACAGTTGGAAAAAAGTACATCCTTCACCAAGTGTGGGTGTTTTGTTTTTTTTAAAGTCATTTTTTAATATATTTAAGGATAGACATTTAAATCTCTTAAGTAGATTATAAAGTCAAAACATGACACAAGACATTCTAAAATGAAGTTGACAATAAATTTAGCAAATGAAAAAAAGTAGTTCATACAAAGAATAGTCATGGAAAAAAAATGTGACACAAAAAGATGCGTTCATTTTAAAAATGAATATCACAGTAAATCTATCAATGTATTGGTCACCGTCAGATATATGCTTTTTATTCTTCACTGATTTTCCTTTGTTTTGACAGACGACATCTCTACAATGTGTTTGCACTGGTCTGGGTCTGGTGCAAGCTGTCTCATCTTCCTTATAGTCTGAATAGAACAGCCCACGTTGGCTGGTCTGGAAGCCTGGCAGCTGTTCCAGTGACATCAGATCACTGACCACTGTAAGGAAAACCAGTAAACATCAGAACAATAGCTGTTACACAAAAATCAGGCAGTAGAAACATTTTGTTAATGTGCACTTTCCCACTTCCCTAAATGCATTTTAATGCACCATGTGGCTGCTGGAGTTTTTGAACCATAAACCAGAAGTATTATTTTCCTCCTCTGTCTTAATTTACTGAACAGATACAATTTTCAACAACAAAAAAAGCGCCTATGTGATGGTAAAGACAGTCTTGTGCCAATAGTTGTTTTGTCCGGTGACCCAGACCTGCTATTTCACGCTGGTTTTTAACCCATATTTGACAAAGGTAAATCTTTTGTAAGCATGCAGTCAACAGTGCAGCCCCTCTGCAGGGGCAGAGACACACTATTCAGTCGGTGTTGATCCCCTTCCAGTGCTTTGCCAGGAACCTTCTTTCTATGTGAAATGCAATCCATCTCATAGGGTCTGTCGCCTGGGGGCTCTCATCCTCTTTCACAACCCATATGCCCACACACTGCTAGTGCCACATCACTGCTCCAAAGTGCATTTAATTGGGATGCTTTTCATGCAGCATAACTGACTTATCATATGGCTCTTCTCTCCCTCTCTCTACCAATTCCTCTCCGTCTTTCCATACACACTTTCTTTTCTCTTCTCCCTGCGTTTCCTCAGCACTTTAGCAGTAAATTCCTGCTTCAGTGAACTGGGCATACAGTGCATGACTTGATCTGACATGAAAGCTAAAGGCAAGCCATTGTAGCCCTGTATTTGAGTGGGGGAAAGAGAGAGAGAGAGCGAGAGGGAGAGAGGCAAGTCCAAAGTATGGCGCAATTCAACAACAACAATAACAGCATCCTCAGTAGGCTATCTTCAGCTTCTGAGAGGAACGAGGAGAGAGAGGATGTGTGTGTGTGAGAGAGGGAGAGAGAGAGAGAGAGAGAGAGAGAGAGAGGAGGCTGTTCGCATCACTCATGAGGAGTAGGCGTGCTCTTGCGCGCTGCATCGTTTGATGATCTCCCCGGTTCCCCCCCTGAACCTCCACTCTGTGTTCTCAGTGGGTGAGGTCGGTCAATCACAAGGGGCTGAGCGGACTTTCCTCCCTCCCCTCCCCAGCCGGTGGAGTCGAGCTCGACTTTCCGTCGGGCAGCACAGCCGTGTTGCACCGCACCGGTCAGCGGGGCCAGACCGCAAGCACTTAGGAAGAACTCACACAGCAGAGGATCCTGCCGTTCGCCGAGGCGCGTCGCTCGTCCGCGTCCCGCACCAGCCGAACAGCTGGACTTACTGCCATGAATGATTCAGTCAGTCAGCATAGGTGACTTTTGATTCCCTCCGTTTTTTTTCTTTCTTTTTTTTAAATTCCCCCTTTGATATTTGGATTTTCTGAGGAGAGAGAGAGAGAAAAAAAAAAACTCCACGGTGGCAGCATAAGCCCAAAACTCGCTCCGTGCGCGTAGGGGGGTTATTTTTTTTATGTTTTTGCCCAAGATGCAGGTGGATCGGAGCTGTGTGGTTTCCAGTGCTCGGTGTACGTGGCTGCTTTTACTTTTTTCAACTCTAAGCACCAGGGTCAATGGGGTGGGAGGCACCCACCAAAGCATCCCTCCGTCCGTGTAAGTAGATGACCTTTTACGCAAAGGTGATGCTTTTTATAAACAGAACTTGATTAGTAATAACCCAGACACATGTCTCACAAAAAGACAGCATTTTTAGGTTAAATGGTTTCTAGAGCACTTTAATTTGTCTTTTTTTCTTCTTCCATATTTCTACATTTTTTTTAAAATTGCAAGTTTTAAGTATATTAGCTGGTTGCAAAATAATGCTCTTGCAGAATTCCTCAAGAAGTAAAGAAGTTTTTTTTTCTCTCTGCATGTTAACTACTTGAAGTTACAGCCTATCTCTTCATATATTTTTTTTACTGACTTGTTTTGTTTTTTTTTTCATTCTATTTCTTGCCTGCCTCTGTGCACCATGTGTGTGCCATCTGCAGGGTGAAGCTGTGGGCTTCAGCGTTTGGTGGAGAGATGAAGTCCATCTCAGCTAAGTACTCTGGCTCCCAGCTGCTGCAGAAGGTGAGCTGTTTTTACTGCCTGAATTCAACTCTTCAGGTGTCGAATAAGAAGTGGGCTGCCCTCTGGAACCCTTAATATTAAAACATTATTCAGATTTCCACACGCCTGAGCTCGAGCACAGGGTTTGGACGATTTAACTCTCGATGCGAAACACAGAGTGGAAAGTAAGAGAGAAGAGTTTCTAATATCCATGAAATTTTATAAACATAAGTGGAGTTGTGTGAGTACACACAAAGAACACTAATTTCCCTTTTTTTTTAAGTTAAAATGATGTGATGCTGTTTATTCAAAACCTTAACGATACCTTTTTGAGAGACTTTTAAAAATTCCTGCGTGGATGTGAAAGACCAGCTTTTGAGAGGAAATGGCTGTTGTTGGATAATTTTTTGATTTCAGTGAAATGTCACTTTTCATCTCTCAAACTGCAGGACCTGTGCTTTTTAGCCACTTGAGAATCGTTAATGCATGCAGACTATGTAGGCTCAGATTTAAAAGCTTATTCGTAACACGTGCCATTTAAATGGGTGTCAGTTCTCAAGCACTTTGGCAGATGCGTTCGCACATGTACACACACTCATAAAATTTACTCCTAGAAAAGAGCAATTTTCTTACTGTTTTTTTTCTTCATTTTTTGCTAAGCAACCGACTGTTTCTCACATTTCTAACACCCTCTTACCTCTTTTTTTTTTTTTTTTTTGGTGCCTCTCTGCAGTCTCCTCTCATTCCTCTTCCGCTCTGCTTTGTGGGTTTAATGCAAGATTTGAGTGTGATGGAATGCAAATTTTCCTAATGGAGGGTCAGTTGATGAAGCCTGAGTTAAAACTGGCTAATGGATAATTTAGTGGCAAAAAGGCCAAGATGAGACTAACCTCTCAGTGGGCACACAGACATGATGTTGTACTTGGTGCCACAACACTGTGAGGGAGACCCACTCTGCTGTTAGGTGTCACACCGGCCAAACCAAGAGATTTGGCGTGACTCATAGATAGAGCCTGTGTCTTTCATCTCCATGGACCCTGTACACGAGTGCATACAGAATACCACACACACATGAACCGCACATTCAAAGGCACAGCCACATAGACATGCTTGGGCCTACAGCGTGGATTTCATCAGCTGCTGATAAGCCAGATGAGCGGTGTTATCTTTTTGACGGGATAAAAACTGTTCCCCCCTCTCATCTTTTTCTGCCTCCAAAATGAAGATAACTCTCCCACAGAGTGACGACCTCTTTATGAAATGCAAATGAAGGCTGTAGGGTTAATTGAGCAAAGAAAAGACTCGAGACCTCTTTGTCAGAAAAGTGCATCTTTCGCACCAAACTGTTATGATGCAAGCGTTAGCGGTTGCTCGCTGTACCCGCTTGCTGGGTCCCCCCACAGTGGTCAGATGTGCAGGATGTTTAACTGCACACACATGCATTTGCTCACAAGCTTCGCCAATATGTCACAGCATCTGGTAATGCTATGCCTTATTTTGTGTCCGGTACAGTCTAGTAGCTCTTGTCCAGGGATGCAGAGGAGGGACCACAGATGCCTCGAGGGCACATATGCTTTTAAATAGGCAGAAAGAATGAGGGATATACACTGTTGTACATAGAGAGGAGGATGGTACTGAAGAGAAAAGACCAAAGCTTGCGTGAGTGTGTGTGTGTGTGTGTGTGTGTACATGTTTCCTCTAGGCAGAGGACAGATGGACTCGGTCTCTCTTCAGCTATCTTTCTGACCCCAGCGTAACTAGACTCCCTTGGAAATAACAATACCTCGCCTGAGCCACGCACACACACACACACACACACACAGACACACACACACACAGTTGTTTTTTTTTGGTGCTGATTCACTAAATATGCACCATATTTCTCATCAAGCCATAAAGAAAAAAACAGAGAGAGACCATTTAGTGCAAAGTTACATTTTAAAGTTGCCTAATGTCTTTTTGTACAACATGTAATCTATACGGTACACAAATCTTAATTAGGCTCTCACAGAAGTGCCATAAAAAGAAAACGGGACTCAACAGGTTATGTTTTGTACTATTTATTTATTTAATTTGCAGTTTTAATATCGTAGCACTTCTGTTGGCTCATGCTGTGTCTTTGTGTACGTCAAACTGCGACAAATTCAACTAGGTTCTACCTTTGCATTGACTCTGCTTTAATTCAATACCATTCTGATATCCAGTTTCATCACCTTTGATGTGGCGTTAATCAAGCCTGGTAACACAAAACCATGCAATGAATAGGTTGGATTTGATTTAGATTTGAAGGTAGTCATTTTGAGTGTTGGCATAATTCCCAGAAGGATCTAGGGTGCATAAATAAAATCAACATATGACTTTTGTTAACAATTCTTTTTTTATTACGAAAAAAAAAAAAAAAAATTCCATCTGGATTTGCCTTTTGATCCAAACCTTCTCCCTTCTCGTCTCCTCTCCACCCATCTCACGCCACCTCCCGCATCCTATATCCATCGGAAGCAGCTCTTGTTTCGAGGTTATACCAGTCAGGACACGTTTGTGTGTGTGTGTGTGTGTCCCAAAAGAAGAAGAAACATGATCAATAAGACCCTCAATTTGTCACTCATATCAGATGTTAGCAGTATACTCATTAATGCTTGTACAAATACAATAATACATACACCGTACGGTCTAGATACACTATACGTACTCACCCCGTACAAAGGGAAGGAGGCTTCTGTTTGCGAAACATTAAACATCTCCCACTGATAGTTAGAATTAGCTTTGTGTGTTTTACCCTCTTCACTGCTATTCTGTTGAAATCTTTAATTTCATGTATCATTGAGCAACCTGTCTATACGAGCCAGCCCGGCTGTGATGGCTGTGTCTGCGTGTACATTGTTGGCTGGACTAGTTTTCACCTCACTGCTGTTATGGTTTTCTGGAATCAAAGTAGTGGGACATTATGCTACGCTGAAATAACTTCAAGCCTCTTGGTAATGGAAGATACAAGAAAAATGATCAGCCAGTGGAATTGCTTCTGTGGCAGCCTGAAAGTTAGCCGTGCACGTCCGCTTTCCTATTTTTGAAAGCGTAAGCTGCATCTGAGGGCGAGGAAAGAGGCAGCGGGCGTATGTGCTAGCGCCGTGTGTGTGTGTGTTAAGTTTGCATACCTACTTAAAGCAATCACACATGCACACACACACACACACCATCATCTTCCTCTCGCATACACAGAGCAAAAGAGCAGAGGATGATAGGAAGGTGTAATGATGTGTGACAAGAATACGCCGGAATCGATTTGCTTGGGCGGGAAAGAAGAGTCGCTGGCATGTATAGTTTCTTATACAGAGTGGTGCCATGCCGTTTTCTTTTACTACCCGAAGGGGCTTAGTGCCGTAAGCCACTGACATACCTGCTGACACTTCCTAAATAACACTAACTGGAGTGGTTCCTCAAAAAAGAAGCAGAGGATGAAAAATGTATACCAGCAGTGAAGTTGACCAGTGAAGTGAAAAGGCAAGAGGCATGGAAGATGCACAAACTGGGTTAAACAAGTTTTGAGAAGTTAGAAGGAAGGAGGAGGAGGAGCAGGTGCATAACTTTGTGCCGTTTTGTGTGATTTAAAGCAAATATGGGTCTTTATCGACTGAAATCTTTAAAATTCAGTTGCAAGCATCCCCATCCCAGCATCCCAGGAGTTTTTTTTTCTTCTAATTTTTCCTTTTTACTAAAAATAAAATGTTTTTTTCCCCTCCTCAAAAAACAACAAAAAATGTATAGAACATCTCACACACAGACACAGTATATGCGCTGTATATGGCACAAAAAAAAAACCCCAAAACAACAAAACCCTTCCAATCCCAGGAGATCAATTAATTTCGTCAAACATGGCGAGTTAAGTGATTCTCACACAACAGTGATACGTTTTGATCTATTGGAGGCATTTCTACAAGACTTACTTCACAGAAACCTAATTTAATATTTCTACAGAAGGCAGTTCCATGTTTTCTCTGTTTCAGGAGAAGGGAAAAAAAAAAAAAAGATCTATTTCTATTTTGTGTCTGTATTTTAGTCACACTAACCAGATTTAAGAGCATGACTAATTGCCTAATTTTGAAATGGAAATGATTATGCATTTCAGTTTTTCACGTTCATTTAAAATTAATTACATATTTGGAAGACAACAGTGGAAGAATGACTCTCGCTTTGTGTGCTGATGAAATGTTTTATATTTTCTGCTCAGTACTCATGTTAAACAGCACTTAAAGTTTTAATTGGCCTTTATTTATTCTACAAAGGTTCTGAATGTTTCATAGCATGTAAAAAAAAAACAACGATGCAGTTTAAGTGGCGTGTATTTCCTGCACAAAAATGTTTTCTGTGGTGCACATACAGTACTCTGTCTGCTTATTGAGGCCACTCAGTACCGTGCAAACGGACGTCCAGAGTTACCCTTTTGGGAAATGTAGGACGTTTACATCACACTTCACTACAGTACATTAAAATGACACACGGCATCAAGTCTAAAAATAAATGCTTTAATTAATAACGCAAAGGGTTATAGTGGAAGTAGGTCCATTATCTGCATTTTTGATGGACTTTTTGGTTAACCAGTCAAAAATGTTATTTCTGGCACAGCCCCCAATGCATGATATTAATGCTCAGAAAACAACATTTTTTTTAAATAATATTATTTTGGAGTCTAAAATGTTTTGAATCATTTGGTTAAGTAGGCTTTATCAATTTTACTTATTTCTCTTATTTGCCCTCTATTTGCTTTTATTGCCCCATGGATGACTTTTGTGTGTGTGTAGGTGTGTGTGTGTGAGACAGAGTGTGTGTTTATGTGTCAAAGTGGTGGGAGAAGCATGTGTGATGGTGCCAATCTGCTGCCAAGGGTGGGTGATGGCTGAGGCGTTCCAGTGTAACAGTGTGTCAGTGAGGGGGAGACGGCTGCAGATTAGATTTAGCTTTGGGAAAATTGAATAGCTGTCAGGTTTGGTTCAGCATCGCTGGCAATGAGGTGAGGGAAGGGGGTG